AAAGGAAAGGAAAGGAAAGGAAAGGAAAGGAAAGGAAAGGAAAGGAAAGGAAAGGAAAGGAAGAACAGAAGAAAAGAATCACCCCAAATGGGAGATAGAATGCTGTCACTTTACAGGGTTGCTTAGCAACTGCAGAGCTCAAAAAGGACCGTTTCTTTCTCTCTCTTTTGGAGGGGCTATTTTTGGCCTTCATAGAAGAGAACATTATTTAAGGCCTGACTTGTTTATTTATTGGGGAAGTTTAAAAGAAAACCAGAATAGACTTACCCTCTGCTGATGTTTTTTTGGGGGAGAAAATACAGAATTCCTGGACAGAAATCCTACATCAAGATGTGCTTAGAACACATTCTCTCTACTAAATAGGAGACAGAGAGAGAGAGACAAAATCTATTCAGAAAATGTTAAAAATCCAATAATTTTGAAAAAAAGGAAAAAGAACAACAGACTCACACCACCGGGAATGCTGTTTATATCCCCACTATTTGTATTTCTAAGAGATTGCATGAAGTACAGCTTCTCCAAAGTGCAAAAGGTGACCTTACCATCAGGGAAAACATAAACAATCACACATACCCACACAGTCACATATATATTTGTGAAAGAATGGCAGGAGACACACACATTAAGACACACCTTTCTGAGCTGGTAATTCAGAGCTGCTTTTCATACAGTTCAGGCTAAGCCCTTCCGTTCTGACATCACCTTTTCTTCCAGCATTTTGGTGTTAAGAGCAGTTGTGAAGAAATCTGGCAAGGGTGCATGTTGCTTTGACATGGCCAAGACTGAGGAGGGGAGGGCCAAGGAAGGAAAGCAAAAGAGGAGGAAAGAACAACATGTGGAGAACGGATTAGCTATATAGCTTTGTGTAAGAAAAATTAAAGAGGGAGGAGAAGAAGGAAGGAAAGAATTTGAGAAAGAATAAGGTTTTTTGTAAGAAGGGAAAGAGATGGAAGAGGATTCCAATGCCAGCACAATTTTTTTGGTCTGAGATGGAGAAAAAAGTCAGGCGCCCAGAGATGTGATTCCAACACTCAAGACTCTGTTTCGTCTCCTAATTCGGCGCAGTGTTTCCTTGGTTTCCTCCTCCAGCCTCCCTCCCTTCCTCACCACGTCATTCAGAACCCAGTGACGTAGGGTTCCCCCAAGCCCATGAAAGCGGGGGGAGCTGGCTCTGCAACCATCTCCCTCCATTGATCTGAACAACTCTTCCCGCCCCATTTTCCTTAATATGCCAGTGCCCACACTCCCGACAGCCTATAAAAGATGGAAAGCAGGCTCTCAGACAGATCCACAGGCAGACATCAGAGAGAGAGAGAGAGAGAGAGAGAGAGAGGGCGCAAAGACGGAAGAGGGTGAGCTGCACGGATCTTCAGAGCCGAGATGTACCGGTCCACGAAAGGAGCCTCCAAGGCACGGCGGGATCAAATCAATGCAGAGATTAGACATCTCAAGGACCTGTTGCCCATTGCTGAAGGGGATAAACTTCGGCTGTCTTACCTGCATATCATGTCGCTGGCATGCATCTATACTCGAAAATCCATCTTCTTCTCCAAAGGTAGATTCAGGAAACAACTGAGGGCTTGGGGAAGGGGATCTAGGAGCGCTGGGGATGAGCGTGCTTCTAAAGTTGGGCGAGGGGATTTATCCTGAAGTGACTTCCCGTAGAAACTCAACAGGTCTCTCTCCATGGTGCTGAAATGCCCAAAGGGGCTTGCGTGGGGCTACTGGCCATGGTGCTGAAACAGCCGCTGAGGCTTTTGCGGCGAGCGGGCTGTAGCCGTCGCTGTCCGTGGTGCTGAACCCTTTCCCGCTCATGTCCCCCGGACTCCTTAGCTGTGAAGGGAGCATTTTTTAAGAGAATGACTAAACCCCTCTCCCGTTTCTCAACAGGTGCGACTTCGGAAGGCTCGGAGAGCTTGCTTTCCTCCCAGGACTTGGAAGATTTCATGCAGACCCTTCCAGGTTTCCTTCTGGCATTCACTGGAGAAGGCAAACTGATCTATGTGTCGGAGAATGTGGCCGAGCACCTCGGGCATTCTGTGGTATGTGCTGGCAGACTTGCAGAGTGGGGAGAGCGATACCTTTACTATGAAACAGGGGAAATAATAGCACTCCTTTGAATCATCCTTGGTTTAACGGCAGACTTAACCTTTGTTTAGTTGTCTTGTTAGTTAAACAAGAGCATTTCATGTCAGCCACAGCCTTTCACCTCCTGCAGGCCTGATAGTTATTAAATTAGCCCTATAGTCTCTACAACGGAAGCAATTTGCCCATAACGTTGATAGGACTTAAGAGATGATCTGCCCAACTGGAGTAAATTTACTGATGAAAGTCTGTTGAACATTGAGATCCTTTCTGAGACTTAGATTTCTGAGGATACAATCCCTAACAGGAGAGTTCATTTCACAACTGTTCTCATCTCCTTTCCATTTATGCTGCAGGTGGATTTAGTTGCCCAAGGAGACAGCATCTACGATATCATTGACCCAGCAGATCATTTTGTGATGAGGAATCAGCTGGTATTGCCTTCACCAATAAATACCGGTAGGTTTCCCTTTATGAAAATGAGTGTCATGCAGGGGAGAAGAGAAAAATAGACATGTGGGTAGGAAAGGACTCTAAATTGGCAAGATGACTATTTAAAAGTTGACAGGCACATGTTAGAACACAATGATTAAGCCTTGCAGAGCTTAATTCAAGAAAGAAAATATACAACCTCAGCTTTTATCAGAAAACCTCACATTCAGGACCAGAACTTTGCTGGAGTGTGGTCTTCCATTACCATGGAGCAAAACCGCCGTGGCATTCAGGGACTAAAACAAGCCTCTAGGATGGAGTTTCAAATCAGGGGACGTTCAATCCACTCTTGTCATCTTTGTTTAAGAAATTTAATTTAGAAATATGTCCCATGTAGAAAAAAATAATATCGTTTGCCAAGGCTGTCAAGCCTAGGAGAGGGGAACAAAACTGTATTTTCTGCTAGAGATTGTCTTAGCACTGTGACCAATCTAAGCATGTTTCAGCGAGTGTGGCTCTTCTGGTCTCTCAATGTTCCTCTTCTTTTTCTTATGCCCTTCAAAACAGACCGTCTCTTCCGCTGTCACTTTAACACGTCCAAGACAATCCGGCGCCAAAGTGCAGGAAATAAACTGGTTCTGATTCGCGGCCGCTTCCACCAACCTCCGCCGGGTTCCTACTGGTCGACCAATCCGGTCTTCACTGCCTTCTGCACCCCTCTGGATCCCAAACCCAGAATGGATCAAAATTCTTTCTTCCTGTCTGCTTTTGAGAGTCGCCACACAAAAGACTTAGCCATTGTGGACATCTCTGAAAGGTGAGAGTCCTTATGGAAAAGGTGGAAGGTTAGGATTAGCATGGAAGAGCATGCAAAAGACTGAGAAGGGATTCTGTGTGCTGGTTAAGCGAGGAGCATCCTGTCTCCACCAGAGGGAGAGGCAGGGCACTGAATACCCAAACCAGCGTTGATCCAAACAGCGTAGTGCCAAAAAGCTCTCCTGTATTATTTTTTTCCCCAACCATTACTCATTCAGTTTAAAAAGAATTTGGGTGGGAATTGCCACGGATGAGTGGTGGTATGCGCTGGTTTGATGATGGCTTAGGGGTGCATGGGGTTCAGATTGGGAAGTGTGACCATTCAGGGAGGCTGCAGAAGGATGAGCCTTCTCTTCTGTCTCAAAGAATAAAACGTGCTCAGAAACCCCTCTAGAGAGAAATCCGAGAGGAATCCTCAAGCTTCCTGTGAATGAAATAGAAAATGTTTGCCCAGGAGGAAAATGGAGAAACTGAATTCAGGCCCCTTGTTGCTCCAAAGCACTGATCTCTACCCCAATTTCCCTCCATTTTCTAGCGTGATCTTCCACTTGGGCTTCGAGAAAAGTGAGCTCTTCTGCAAATCGTGGTACAGCTTGATCCATCCAGAAGACCTCAGCCACGCTTCAGCCCAGCACTACCGGCTGTGTGAGTCTCTTTCAGTTGTTCTTTCATGCACACCTGGGGGCAAAAAGAGCAGATGGGCAAAGCTGATTTGGGGAACAGGTTCAATCAACTGCTTTTCCCTACTTCTTTCTTCAGTGGGCGACCAAAGCAGCATGCAAACTGAAATGGTCATCCGACTCCAAACAAAAGACGGCGTAAGCTGGATATGGATCTACTCACTGCTTCGCATTGAGAATGCTGAGGTCCCCATCGTTTCTCACAACTACGTCATCAGGTAAGAATGATTGACTTTGTCTGTGGTGAGCGGGCTTGAGATTACTCGTTTCTTTGTAACCTGAGCAGTCTTCAGGCCAAATGGAATCCTTGATCTGAAATAATAATAATAATAATAATAATAATAATAATAATAATAATAATAATAATAATTATTATTATTATTATTATTACTACTACTACTACTACTACTACTAATAATAATAATAATAATTTATCCTGCCTCTTTATATATAACTCAAGGTGGTGAATATACAGTACTGTACCAATACTCCTGCCTCCTGTTTTCCAACGACAACCCTGGGAGGTGGGTTGGACTGAGAGAGAGAGACTGGCCCAAAGTCCTCTAGCCAGCTTTCCTGCCGAAGGGAGGACATGAACTCACCACCTCCTGCTTTCTAGGCCAGCCCCTTCACCACGACCCCAAACTGGCTCTCATATTGACATTGATTCTAAACCGCCCATTTGTATAGCCGTCCGTCTCACAAGGAGGCAGCAACCAGAGGCTTAAAACAACCCAATATAAACTAAATATATTGTCCACCTTTGCTTTAAAGTGCTACAACACCACTTGGCTTCCCACTCTATTTTTTCCAAATGCTTGATGCTCCTTTCCGGTGGAAGGATCGTGCAAATAGGGGACAAAAACAGAATAGCTAAGCCTTTGCAGGACTGTGAATCAGTCCATGAAAGAAAAGTGGGTAGGAGCTAAGCTATGGTTGATTTTTTGTCTAGTTCTTTCAGTGTTTATGGGTTTCACAAGCAAGGCTCCCATTGCCCAGGCCTGCGAGGGGCTTCCATTCACACATCAGAGGGGCAGAGGGGAACCAAGGGATGAGAGATGCAAATATTTGTCTTCTGACTATCTTGAGGATGGGAAATCTCCCAGGGGCTCCTTCTCACCTTCCCTTTCTCAATTCTCTGCAGCGATTCAGAAGCTTGGTGCCTCAAGCAACAGGTCTCTGCTGAAGGATCCCAAGTGGCGTACGCCCTTGAAAGCACCACCACCACCACCTTCCTGGAAGGTCTCCTGTCTCCTGGACAACTTTCCAGCCCTGACCAAGTCTTCACGCCCGTGGCTGGCACCCCCACCAGCACTCTTGTTGCCCCGACCTTCGACTTCAGCTCCGCCGGGGGCACCGAAGGCCCCTCGGCCTTCAGCGAGACTTCTGAAAGCCTGCCCCAGGAGGTGATGGATTCTGGCAATATCTCCTCCATCGAGGATGCCCCGCCAGGCTCCACCCTGAGCCTTCTCAGCAAAGAAGCAGGCTTTGGGTACCTCATCCTCCCCCAAGGCTACGAACAGACTTTTCGGAGCGAGAACCCGGGCAGCTCCTCTTCCTCCAAAGATTTCGTCTGCACCCCTCCCTACACCCCTCACCAGAGTTCAGCTTTCCTGTTTGGAGCTCAGGAGCTTTATGGACCCCCTAGCGCCCCTGCTGCCATGCCAGCTGGGACAGCTTCTCCTGGTGCCACCAGCGCCACCCCTCCCACCACCATCACGGCCATGACCACCTCCGAGCTGTTCTTCCCCCAAGAACAATGCAGTGTTCTCTATGAGAAGTTACCACCCACCCCGGACAGCCCTGGTAATGGGGACTGCACTATCATGACGTTGCCTGAGATCAGAGGTCCCCTGTATGTCGATGTGCCTATGGTACCAGAGGGGATCCTGACTCCCGAGGCCTCGCCCATCAAACAGACCTTCTTCAGATATTCTGAAAAAGAGAAAAACGAAATCGAACTGCTTGCCCAGCAGATCTGTAGCCTGGCAGAGACTTTTGGCTCCACCGCCTCCAGAGAACTCGCCAAGAATGGCCAGGTGGCTCTCAGAGAGGCCGCACCGGGCCCCGTCCCTGAACCATCTCCCGTGCCAGAGCCTTGCCTGGATTTCCAACTTCCCAAGAACTGGAGGAGCGTTGACTTCTCTGTCCTGACCTGCCTGGAGGACGATCTCCTGGAAGAGAAGGCTCTCGAGACCCTTTTCCAAGACCTGCCAGCCTTTCTGTTCGAGAAAGGTGGAGCAGGAATGAGGTGCCCTCACCACCAGTTCTGCGGTGGCAATGTCAGTAGTCCAATCGGCTTGGACACCGAAGATAGTAGCCAAGGAGCCTTTGCTCCCTCGCCAAGTACGGACATACCTCCAGAACAGCAATGTTTTTTGGAAGAATTGGCCTCCTTTGAAACAGCCTTTGAGACACGTGCCTCAAACTCTCCCTGTGATGGGTTAGACGAGTTGTATCAACTCCAGAGCCACAGGCAAGAAGGCTTCCATGAAGGTAAGTGGGGCCCGGGGACCTCTGAGAGGGAACCAGCGAATTGGGGGGTCAGGAGAGTAGGAGTAGAGAGTGCGAGGAAGGCCCTGTTCCCAGCACTTCAGGACAGGGCTGGGGGCGTGCAGGGAAGAGGGTGCCCTGCAGAACTGGGGCTGGGTGGTGGCTGGATCTGCAGCCCAAGCGAAACCTTCAAGGTGGAGCAAGAAAATCTTTTGCTTGTGCTGACACTGTGAAAACATCCAAACGATGAGCAGAACTGTTTTGATCACTAAAAGTCCCTTTATCAGCTTAAGAACTGATCTCCCTACGGCAGGGTTTCTCAACCGTGGCCACTTGAAGATGGGTGGACTTCAACTCCCAGAATTCCCCAGCCAGCCATGTCCACCCATCTTCAAGTGCCAAGGCTGAGAAACCCTGCCCTAGATAGAACACGAGATGCCCTCAAAGTGAGCCTAGGGTTGGCCTGCTTCTTGCAAAAGACAGAGGCTGACTTCCTACAACACGCTGAACCTCCAGCTTCCCAACCCAACTTTATAGCTTCGTCTACCCGGTGGGGCAAACCCAGTCATTGGACACCAGGTTTCCCAACCTGGTCTGCCCTCCAGAGGGCTGGACTCCAAGGCCCAGAATGCCCAATGCAAAGATTTCAGGGAGTTGGATTATTGGATAGATTTATTCTTTTCTGCCTCACTTTTCCACTCAGCCAATTACTCCAAGGGGTGACTAACAGCAATTCTGGGCTGATATAGTCAAGGTTGGACCGGGTGGCTGTGATTTAATCCTATCTAGTGTAAGATTATCTAGTCGGTCAGTTAATAAGAGAGTGGGCTGGGCTTAGCCCTGGAAATCTATAGGTTCTTCTGCCAACATGGGAAATCCTGGGTCCTGAGAATAGCCCATCTTGGTTTCGGAAACAAGTTCCTAGTCCATCAGGTGGGGAGAAGGAATCAGAAAGCATGTGGCTGAGTTTGAATCATGGAAAGGGAGTTTTCCATCCACTGATCCAGCTGTGTCTTCCTTTGTGTCTCCTCCTTTAGATGGAAGTGAAAATGATCCTTCATTTTGAAATAAGTCCGTGACTTACTTCTCCAAGTATGACATATTGTCATATCTTTAAGAAGCGACACCCACCAAGCCCCCATGGAGTGTCCTGCTGACGAAATGCCTGCACCCAGCAGTTTACGTTGGAGGGTTTGGCAGAAAAAGACTTTTTTTTTAATTAAAAAAAATCACAAAAGAACAAAAAAATCTTGATTCTGAGACGTCGGTGTGAGACTAGCTGCTCAGAGCTAAGGGAAGGACCGTTGTAAGTGGATTTACACATGTTACCGTATTCACTCGTAGTGAGTAAACTTGTATGTAATTTACTAAGAAATACAAGAGGGGGCCTTGGGCCCGAGGGCTCCTAAATCATGATTTAACCCAAAGTTGGAGCAAAGTATTTGCACTGTTTGGGGACTTGTCCTCTTCCAATCTCTGCCCTTTCGTCCCTGCTCCCTAGAGTACAGAATGTGTAGGTGGTATGAATACCTACTATAGTAAGGGCCAATGGCTGGTAATGTAATGATTAATTTTATTGCCTTGCTACTCTTGTGTAGTGCATTTCTGTTTGTACAGAAAGACTACAATTCAAGGTTTGGGGCACCCGTTTCCAATTCAATTTCTTTTTTTCTTTTTTTTTTGTACTCGCGCTGTAGTTGCTTCTAAATTATTAGCAGGTTCCTCTAAGTCCGAGGTGTACAATCTGAGCTCCTATGGCTGCCTGTGGCCCCTGAAAGCCTTGGAGATGCCTTGTTTTTAACGTAGCAGAAAAAGAAAATGATGCAACGCCCTGGAAATAGTCTGAAGAGGACCGAATTGGTTTCACGTGGCTGATCTCGAAAAAACAAGGCAGGGTCTGACGTGGATGGGAGACCACCAGGAAATTTTAGGGCCGTAGACTAGACTGGGGAGTCAGGAAAACCTCCATGGGAAACCACCTCTGCGTTATTGCCACGAACACTATACAGATGTGCCCTTAGGTTCACCAGGACTCAGATCTGTCTCAAGGGATTCTTGTACCCTTTGAGGAGAAATTAAGAACACAAGGCCTCCGCCCTAAACTTTAACTCCTGCAAAATTCAGCGGTTTTTTTTCCTTTCTTTTAATTGCACATAAAATGATCTCATCTGTTTTGGTCAAGCCAAAACATTTCCATTGACAGCGGAATCTGCTGTATACATGATCACCATGTGAGTTAGTTGGATTTTGTTTTTTAATCCCTTGGTCCCGAATTCCCCCTCGCCACCCTACAATGGGCAAGGCCTTGTAGCTCAGTGGCAGCGCCCTCGTTTTTCCACGCAAGGCATCCCAAGTCTTTGGCTGGGATCCGACCCTTGCCGAAAACGCCCAGAGAACTGCTGGTGGATAATAAAGATGCTGTTATTAAGTTATCTCTTAGCTTGCATGGCTGTCCTCCCACAGCAGTTCTCTAGCCGTGGAGAAATACCGATGAGAACGATGAACCAGGACAGAAATCCTTCTAGGTATAAATACTGATGTTTCTATTCAGTTGCATTCTAGGTGTATACGCCTTTAACTCGATTTTTTTGGTAAGGCAGCTCATGGCGAGCTTCGGGAACCTCTCCCAACCTTCTCTCCCACGCAGAAATTGCTGGGTTGGGTCACAGAGGTGGCTTCAGCCCCCCCACCTCTCCCCACTTTTTCCTTCACTGTTGCATTCAAATACTGGGGATCTGTGCCCCCCCAATATTGTACTGCCATTTGTAGAGTTCTCTACGAGCAAGTATGAGGGTTGGACTCTCTGACTGTTGTAGGCATACCCACGCTGTCCGAAGGTGGGACCTGTATAAAACAACACGCCTGCAAGGCTGTGCAGGAAAAAAAAAAAATCAGACAGGGTTTGCTTTTCCATTTTATATGACAAATACAGTACATGCCTGTTAACTTGTACTTTGGTGAAATGTTGCCTGCTGTGGAACTGTCTGTGTCACTGAAACCTTGACGCCTTGCCAAGTCTGGATGTGAACTTTTGCAATAAAAGGAAATACAACACTGAGAACAACTCTTTAAAGGGTGTGTGTGTATTTTTTAAACCGACAAGACATAAGGCAAACAACTGTGGCTCTTTATCTAATTCCCACCAGGAGGGTTCTCACAAGACACTTGAGTTGATAACTGAATTAACCCGTTTTTCCGGCTCTGTATTGAACCCTAAAAAAGTCAAATATGCTGGGTTTGCCTAATATCTAAATCATGCACGCATGCACAGAGACAGCAGCTAACCAAACTTAGCTGTTGACTGCAGCCACTGAAGTCTTGAGTGGATCTGGTTGAGAGCGTGGTGCAAACCCGGCCACCTCGTTGTGAAACAAAATTTTGCTTCCAGATGATCTATAAAGTCTTTCATTTGAGGAGCATCACCTTGCAAAAGAACAGGTTTAAGGCACACGGGCTGGGATGATCGGATCAACCAGGGCGAGAAAGCGGAGTGTCCTGGGTTCAAGCCACAACATCAGGACCGTCTCAAGATGTTGTCTTGTCAGAGATCCATCACGAAAGACCAATTTGCTGGGCTCGTGACTCGTCCTTTCAGATTCGGGATAGTGACATCTTTCTTTAAGAGGGATCTGTTCGCCCTCCGTTCTTCATCGGCTGTCCCCCCAAAGGGCCTCAGTCTGCCTCGGGGTAGGGTTGGCCCTGCCCAGATTCTCCAATCCAAGAATTGGGTTGAAAGTAAAAAGTAAAGTAAAAAATGTAAAGTACTGTAAAGTAAAGTAAAGAATAAAGTAAAAAGTAAAAAGTAACGTAAGTAAAAAATGTAAAGTAAAGTGAAGAATAAAGTAAAAAGTAAAAAGTAACGTAAGTAAAAAATGTAAAGTAAAGTGAAGAATAAAGTAAAAAGTAAAAAGTAACGTAAGTAAAAAATGTAAAGTAAAGTGAAGAATAAAGTAAAAAGTAAAAAGTAACGTAAGTAAAAAATGTAAAGTAAAGTAAAGTAACCCTAACTTTACCAGTTAGGATGGTCCTTATGTGCAACAGCACCTCCTGTGTGAAGATGTCTCAGGAGTTTCTCCCTGAGCCGAAGCAAGTTGCAGCCAATAGCGTCACACACACAACACGTTGAACCGGGTCAGTGAAAAGATCCAGCAGATTCATTTGGTTAGGTTTAATCTTAGTTAGACTTGTTTGGGGCTAAGCCTACGATGCATGTCAGAAGATACAGTTCAAGGTACAGTACTACACAAACCCAGAAAATGGGTTTCACCCATAACCTGGTTAATTCAATAACTAGGTTATGGGTTGCACAATCTTTGACAGCTCTGGGCCAAATGAATAAAAACATAGGGCTGCCTACTGAGGATTGGAGAGAGGACGAGTCTGTCCTAGAATTAGATTTCTTTCTAAGTTCTGCTCGATTCTTTGCTGCTGTTGCTATGTTAGGCGTCTAAGAACAGCACCAGTCAAGGTCTGCCAGAAGAAACACATAGCTCAGAAATCAGAGGATTGAAAAATAGGGTTGTTGTTTTTTTTTCCTGGGGAAAGAGGTGGGAACACATGGAAAGGTTATAAATGACCCGGGACTCTCAAGGCCTGCGTCCCCACAACCTACTGACCCATTTGCAAAACTTGTGAACTTGCTGAGCATTCACTGGGGCTCTTTGGGGGTGTGCAATGGGGCTCACTATGTTGTGCAAGCCTATGGCTCAGTGTAAAATGAGAATTCAGTAAGGCGGTTAACTGGAGTGCAGTGTTTTTCAAGCTTGGCCACTTTAAGATGTGTGGACTTCAACTCCCAGAATTCTCCAGCCAGCAAGCTGG